ACTCCGCCTGCGTGGCGGGCCTTCTGTGAGGGACTAAGCTCCTCCTCCTCCACCACCACCCCACATGTACAACGCATCAACCTCCATCGGTTCATGCAGCATGGAGCTTGAGGCTGCTCCTTGGGGTTGTTCGTTCGCCCCAAGCAACCTTGGTGTTGTTTGTGCACTCTTCGGGTTTAGCACCAACCCCAGTGGACAAAACGGCAAGACGCGCCAAATGCGCGCCTCAATCGGGCGACATGCTAAACCTTTTCAACATTTTAGGTGGGTGGTAATATGTTTGTCAGCCAAAAAAAGTGGAAGGCTGGCACAGTTTTCACAGTTTGGCCTGGCTGGCACCAGTGTGTGGCGCAACAGTCTCACTGGGTCGATGCGTTCCTCCTTCTCCTCCTCCACCACACCTGCTCCACCCCCACATCTTCCAAGATGCCTTCTCCGAGGGCCGAAGGCAGCAGCGCTACACGCCCTCGCCGAGGGCCACATTCTCCGAGGAACCATGTATTGCAGCCAATGTCGTGTCTGGCTGCTGATCGTGATACAGACACTCGTGCATACCACGCATGCGAACGGGGGATAAATGAAAATTTAAAAATGTGTATAAGCGCCGTTGAATACATTGGTATGCTTGCATCGTTTTCACAGGCTGGCCAGGTTGACACCAATGTGTGGCGCAACTGTCACACTGGATCGATGCTTAAGCTGGTGCAGTACTGCTTGTGTGCCGACAGGCTGGCGAGGCGGAATCAAGGATGTGGTGGTTTCTTCCCCCTCCACCACTCATGCTCTTCCACCTCCTCCAACATGCCCTCTCCGAGGGTCGAAGACAGCGGCGCGACTCGCCCTGACCGAGGGCAGCCGTTTCCGAGGAAGCATGTGTTGCAGCCAATGTCGGGTCTGGCTGCTGATATTGATGCAGACATTCGCGCATACCACGAATGCGAACGAGGGCCAGGGTGAACAAAAAATATGTCCATCTGCATTTGAATATGTATAAGCGCCGTTAAATGCATTGGAATGTTGCCAAAGTTTTCACAGGCTGGCCTGGCACCAATACGTGGCGCAACTGTCACACTGGATCGATGTTTAAGCTGGTGCAATACTGCCTGTGTGCTGGCACGCTGTCCTCCCCCTCCTCCACGCTCCACAGCTCCTCCACCTCCTCCAGGATTCCCTCTCCGAGGGCCGAAAGCAGCGGAGCTACACGCCCTCGCCGAGGGCCATATTATCCGAGGAAGCACGTATTGCAGCCAATGTCGCGTCTGGCTGCTGATCGTGATACAGACAGTCGCGCATACCACGCATGCGAACGGGGAAAAAATGAAAAATAACAAATACTATAAACGCCGTTGAATACATTGGTATGCTTGCACAGTTTTCACAGGCTGGCCTGGTTGGCACCAAGTGGCGCAACTGTCACACTGGATCGATGCTTTCGCTGGTGCGGTACAGCTTGTGTGCTGGCACGCACGTAGACGAGGGAAATGATGAAGAATCGATGTGATGAAATGATGAACGAGCGAAGCAGACGGGAAGGAAGGGGTAGGGGAGGCCGCTCAGATTGCTTATATGAATGCGCACGCACGCAGGTGGTAGAGTGGAGAAATGACGTCAATGCACTGTTACGTTTGCAACCCAAGGCTATCGTATCATGATATGCAGAGCGGAGCTCGGACTCGGTGGCCAGCTGATCAAAAAAGCAAGTCTTAAAGAGTGGTAACTGCACAGTACATTGACAGGCCGATGACCATCTGATCTTGACTGTGTGATCTCGCTGTCGGATAGATCATGGTGCGTATACCATTCCTGCATTGAACGGTCGAGCGTAGCATTCCAAACATATTTCCTTTCAATGTAGAGGCCGCCACTGGTGTCGTACGTGAGGTGTTCGCTAAAGAACTCTGCAGCGTGCGCCCCATCTCTTTCCAATGTTGAGAAGACTACGCCAACGTTCTCAAACGGCTGACTGGTCATGCTTCCATCGGCTACCAAGTTGCAGTCAACCGAAACATTGTGAGAAGCGCTTGACAATTTCGAACGAGCGTCTGCAATATGTTCCTATGACGTTCCGCTGACCCGAAGCCCTTTTTACCAGTACCGATCACTGAAACAACTGCCGATGCGAGCGACTGCCCGACTCGCGCCACTGATGCTCATCAAAATGCGTGTGATTGTTTTCAAGGTGTGCAGCTACGGCGTTGTGGGTGTTCGAGAATGTCGGAGACAGCGCCTCGGGACCTCCACATTCCTTTGGACCTTCACGATGTGCAAAAATATTGGGGGGGTCCAGATTGTCACCAACAAATGCGTCATTGTCTTCACGGTGTGCATATACAGCGTTGTGGGTTTTCGAGGACGTCGGAGACAGCGACTCGGGGCCTCCACCTTCCCTTGAACCTTCACTATGTGCAGAAGTATAGTTGTAGGCCCCCTGATTGTCAGCAAAATATGATATATTGTCTTCAGAGTGTGCGACTACGGCGTTATGGGTATACGAGGATGT